TCAAACTGGACAACTTGTTCTTCAATGTGATCAAGACTAATATCATGGTTGGTGGTTTGTTTATGCCAGTGGCAAGCCTTGCAGGGGAGTGCGAAATAGAATTGGAGCAACATTTAAAATAGAAGGCAGAAATTTGGTACACAAACACTATAGACAGAAAATACAACAGCTAGAAAATAGACATCAGGCGAGTGGTTCAAGGACTAGTAGGATATACAACAGTGAAGTCTAGTGAAGAAGGTAGGTAAACTGTAAATACAGATAGATACTGGAAGAAAGATATCGTTGTGATTACTGCAACATGGCATATAGAGGGCAGGACTGGCAACCCAGCACTCCTCATTACAGACCTTTCCAACTGACTAGAGAGCTTTCCCTCAGAGTAGAGAAAGGTATTAACGAGGAAGTGGGGAAGAATCACAATATTAGTTTAAAAAAACAGTCACACCTTTATGGACGTGGGATAATATGGTAGATCGTAGTCATCAAATATGGCTAGCTGGGCTGAACTGATAAATAATAAACTGCTTGGAAAAGGCAGTCACACTGCTGGAAGTGTACTGGGAACTTAGCTGGAAACATAAACATCCGTTACCCTCCTGAAACACATAAGCCCCTGTTTGATTGCTAGCTCTGGCTGTCTGATCTCTGCTATCAAATTCCTAATGTTTATTTACACATGGTTAACTTTCAAGTGTTTTGCGGTTTGAAGGATCCAAGTGGTTATTTGGCCTGTAATAGGAAGAGGCTTTAGCTATTTTATGGTGTTAACTGTCACTATAAGGTTCATTGCTTTTATATAAAGTGTTTGTGGGTGAATGAGCGTGAAATGCCAGAGCTTGTCATGACGGTCTCTGAGGGACCACAAAAGGGGGTGAAAGTATAGACATACTATGGTGTTGCACCATGATGGGTCACAGGGTTTGTTTGGGGGGTGGGGTGTAAGGGGATAATTCTTGGCATGGGAGTCAATGAGAAGAATCTTTAGAACTCACATTTTCAAATCTTCCCTAAAGTAAACAATGAATCATGACATCTCTGATAGGCCATGACCCACAAGCTTTATAAAGCTGACCCAACTGTACAAAAGTAGGCCAGGCCTATATCCAGAATGGAATTGGCTAGCTTGGAAGCTGGGTGTAGGCTGACAACTGGAAACAGTAAAAAGGCCCTGTTGGAAATCTAAAAACCTAGGAATGGAGTCATGAATCGAGTTTCATCTGCCATTAAAGGACTCCAATGTCATCCTGACTTGGTGACAGTCAAGGTAAGTAACTAAGAATGGTGTAAAGAGTGTAGAGAGTAACTGTCTGTCTTTTATCCAATCCTCATTTCGAAGGGTTTGGCCATGGACTTCCACCCTGATTGGTCTACACTAACAGGAAAGAACAGCAGTGGGTTACCATTGCCTTCAGCAGGATGACGGACCAGGAAACTCCCTCCTTCCTGTTGTTAGGCATCTTGGAAGGATTTACAAGCTGAAAATCAATTTGCCTGTCATGTCGTTAATGCACCTTTCATTGGCCAACAATTCCTGCACGGCACTTGAGACTGAAGCTTCTGACCCAGAGATAGAGATGCTAGCACAGTGCCACAAGACTTCTCTGTAGAAACCTTACATGGTGGCAAACCAAATGCATCCCCTCTACATGGACATTGGCCTCCAATGTCTGCCAACTTATCATGGCCATTACGGTACCTCTCTGATAAACTTGCAGGCCGTACACAAAGCATAGACTTGCAGAGCACATCACCAACCAGCAAGGAAAGGCTGCAGCAGGGAAACGGTCAGGCACAGACTCGATGGGCCAAAAGGCCTCTTCTGTGCTGTATGACTGTATGACACAGATCACAGATTTGACCAGACTGCATCTCAGGTCTGCTCCCTTTCTCTCTGCGCGCTCATTCACTTAGCCCCTACCTGAATTCAGGCTGCACCCAATGTCCTGCATTGTGATTCCATGCCATGACAGGACCATTTGCGCATTGGCATTCTAGGCAGTGCTGCCATTTTGAGGTGCTCTTTTGTGCAGACACACAGACAGACTGCTAGCCATGCTGGTCAGTAGGAGCCTGCTGGGAGGGGACTCTTTGCCGTACAATGCACTGAGCTGTGATTCTAACTCCTACAGCATGTGCCAGCTCCCGGTGCAGCAAATGCACATATTAATGTAACCAAATGCCATATCAGAAAGTGGGTGCGGGCTAGTCCACAGTCCAGTCAAGAAAAGACCACTGTCAGTCAGGGGGACTGACTACCATCAGTCCAGGGACTTTAGCATGGTCAGTCATCCAACCAGGATGTTCACGCTCAGTGGAAGTATCCAGTACAGTCCGAGGAATGGTCAGCAATCAGCAATCAATCCTATGGGCCCAGCACCAATATCAGGGCAAGCATGTATTGTAAGTTGTGGAGCTGCAAACAGAACAGTCAGGGGGCTGCTCATTCAAGTCAGTCAGAGGCCTTAGAGCAAATACAGTTTCTAACCAGGAGGGTTTAAGGGTGGGCACCTGTGGGCAGCAGTGAGATCACTGCCTGATGGGGTGGGGGACTCAAGCTGAGGGTGGAAGGCAAAGGCATTTGTTAAGGTGGGGGTAAGAACTGTGTTGGAGAAAACCTAAGCTAACAGAGGAAATTACTAAAAATCTCCCAGAAATAATAGAAAACCTAGTGACTAATGTATATGAGGCACTGTAAGATATTAATATTAGAAAAGGAAATAATATTGGACAAATTAATGGAAGTTAAAATCATTAAAACTTCTCGACCTGATGATTTGTGAAATAGTGTTAAAAGGCAAAGTATGCCATGGGAAAGGGAGGATTGGGCAGTGCCCAGTAATGTCGGGGGCAGGGACAACACTTGGAGATGAGGTTCAAATGGTGGCTCTCTACAAGAGAGGGTGCATTGAGTAGAAATGGGCTGCAAGGTAATATTGGATATGGAGGCTTTTTGGAGGGGGATGGTATTTGGTGACCAAGTGGGGCCCAGTGCTGACAGTGCCCACTGTGAGCTGCATTCCCTGCCACCACTTGACATTCTTTCTATGTGAAATGCTACTAGAAAAATGCTGAAATAACACCCAAGGTGAGTGGAGTCAGTGTCGGTTTGATGGTAGAAAGTGTAGGATCTAAGTTTGCTGGAAGCTACAACATTGTCGCAAGCAGCTGTTTGCAAAATGCAGCTAAATTTAATTTGCAATTGCTTCATGGGCCATTTGCTGTCATGTGGAGTGAAGGCGCTCAGGGGTCAGATACTAGTCAAAGGCGATTTGTTACATTCCATTGGTGATTGCATGTTGAACTTGGGCATCTCAATAATGTTGAAGTGAGCAGCAATGACGTTACAAAAGGCCAACATTGACTGAAAGGAAACTGCTATTTGTCCAACTTCCCAGAGATCTGTGTGAGCCTCACAAATAAAAAGCTAGCCCAATGGCATCCATGTAACCACTGTTAAAAATTGCTTCATGAATAAACCTTTGGGAAAGCAATCTGATCTGTCATACATGTGACTCCAGAGCCACAGCAACGTGGGTGACTTCTAACTGCTCTCTGAGCAATTGGCATTGCACAATAAATGCTGACCTAGCCACGGACAGCCACATCCTGTCAATGAACAAAACAAAAGAAAATTGCTTGATCATCTTTCACGTAATTGTAATGAAAATCTGTACTGAACAAAGTGTGAAGTTGAGTGTTTGATGTGGCTCTGGGATATGAAGGGTGTTGGAGCACTCCCTTCGCAATGACTTTGGGTGGTCACTCAGCCAACATGGCATTTTCACCACTTGCTGCACAGGCTGGGCCTGAATGTGGATGGATAATGGAGACTCGTTCCTCGCCATCCAGTTTCAGCATGTCCCACTCTGTTGTGAAGTGCACTCAGCTTCCATCAGCATGGTATGACACCAGTGAATCTTCTGAGATCGAAAAACATCTCTGTTCCCATTCTGGGTCATTTCCACTGAGAGCTGCGGACCTGGCGACTGTTGGGATATTGGTAACTGTGGCTGTGTACCGAAGAAGGCAAGGACATGTGAGGGAAGATCAGGGTCAATGGCAGGTCCATGAACAGCAGCAGGCTGCTGTGGAGGATGAGGAGCGTCCAGCTCGGGAACAGGTTGCTGTTGCTGGGGGCGTGCAGGAACACCAGAGGTTTTCAGTCCTGACTCAATTTCCTGTGGATGAACAAGGTGCTGTGAGATCAATTATGTCTGACTATCCCCATTTTCTATGAATTGTTCCTGTTAACTTGTGCCTCATTTTCCTTTAAAACATCCAAGTGAAAGAAAAGAATACCAAATATCTCCAGCAATAAGTCTTTCAAAGTCTGTATGTATGGCATTGGTCCCAACAGGAGACTCCCAAAACAGTGATAATGGCCTCTTTTAGGAAAAATATTTTAATGGTCCTGGATGGATTGAAGCATCACTACATTGCATGTGTTAAATTTTGGCCCATTCACTACACGTCTCCAAATCCCAAGCATCTTCACATACTCTACACATCTCACACGTTCACTTGATTTTGTGTCATCTGCAAATGGGAAATCCCCACATCTAAATCATTGTTATAGATTTTAAATAGCTGGGACTCAAGCACTGATATTTATACAACCCACTAATCGCAGCTTGCCAACCTGAAAATTATCCAATTATTCCTCTGTTTTCTGTCCATTAACCAGCTCTGAATCCATGCCAATATATTTCCTTTCATCCCACGTGTTTAAATTTGCTTACTAACCTCTTAACGTGGAAACTTATCAAAACATTCCTCAAAATTTAAATAAATCACATCCACTATTTCCCAAAAGCCATACTTCCTGTGTTAAAAATACCTCATAATGAAAAATGTGCTCAGAGATGACAGAGCTACCCATTCTCTGAAATTCAGCACTTATACTGTGGCTTTATCAAAAGTAAAGATCAATAGGCACTACTGGAGAATATGAAAAATTGTTTCTGTTTTACAGCAGAGATACAAATTTTTGGACCTACCTAACATGCAGTTGCTTTGCTGTCTGTACAAAGCAGGATTGGTCTGTTTCCTTCAGTACTTCTTGGGCATATCCAACCAGCCCACTGTTTTCCAGCATCCCCTGATATTCATCCATTTGGTTTCGTAGTTTCTCCAGTTTTGATGAATGACTGTCCTCAATTGACTTGATAAGTTTCATTTTGCGCTGTTCCAGGATGGTACACAGGCCATCAATCATATCAGTGGCTTCTCTTTTCGCCTTTTCTCCATTACTCTGCAAAGAAATATCCAAATGAAAAGAACGGGATTTAATCCAATGTTTCATTCATTTCACCCTGGTTGGATGATCCAATGTAATGGATTTAAATACTACTTGTCAGGGAGTAATAGTGACCTGAACCAGGACAAAAAGTAAAACTTTTGACTTTAAGAACTTGTGTTCCCAAGAATTGTTTGCGCTCACACAAGCTAACCTTTTATTCACTTTGGAAACCAACAGTACAACTTCTTGCCAGGACTAATTCAGTGCTCAGTACTTATTTCTTCCCCAATTAACTGAATTACTCAGAGGTTTTGTGAGTATGAGGAATTTACTGTCACCTTCACCCCTCTTAACATATTTCAAAATGCCATTCCAGCCTGTATGACTCACTTCAGAAAAATCAGAGTGATTTCTCGTTTGCTTTATGAGTTTATTAACCGGTCGTTTACCGAAATATTTCCTGACATATTGCTTTACTGAGGGAGAGTGTTATGCTGGTTCACATGAAACATGTTAAAGTTGGTTGGGCCATTTTAATTGCTGACAATGCTGTGTACCAAGCAAAGTTGAGTCAGCCAGCCATTCCTTCACCCTACCTGACGTTGCTTCCCAATGGCTTCACAGATTTCCTCAACCATGTTCAACAGGATTGTGACCTAGGCCACTCAATAACACATGCAATTGGACAAACGCAATACCTGTTTGTACCTGAAAGTTGCAATTAGAGATCTAAAATGACGCAGGATACTTATTTGCATATTTAGCAGCTTCAAGCTCAAAACAAGATAGCAGGCGCCTCAGCCATTTAAAGCTCCACCTAAAACCTGTGACACGTGGACCTTGTGTAGCATTAGGGTGGCTGAGGTGCCCCTCCCATCCCGATATCCCATTAATGGCCTCTAGTTAGTCTGGTGAGAGTTAAGCAGTCAGTATTTTAAAATCCCTTCCATTACTGCCATTAATATTTATTCATTATTATTCATATATAAAATGTTTAGGATAAGATTTTTAAAAACTGGCAGATGTAGCATGTTCTTCATCAAAACGGCTGAAGATGAAGAGTTTTCACTTTTAGCCTGCATTATGCTAGGTGCGAGCATAGGGCCTATGCTGATGCGTTTACTGTTTTATGCATCAAGTGGAGCATTACGTTAAATATCTTTATCTATTTAAAGCTTATAGATTGATTTTATATAAGAATCATTACTTTTAATTAATTAATTAAAAAAGTATCAATTTATGTGCATTCGATGTTCCAGTTTGTCAAAGTGATTAATTAAAGTAAAGCTAATGTCTTAAACCTGAATCTTTTTCACAGCGAGTGATTCCTTAAACTAAACAAGTTCTGGCTCAGTTCTCTTTGTTTTTAACATTTTCAGGCCTTTCAAAATTGGATCATGTGTACTTTACTTGCAAAACAATTAGATATGAGACATGGGCTGTTATCACATATTAAACCATTCACTACCTAAAAGGTTCTCTTCTGAAAACAGGGTTTTGGTGTAGAATTTTTTAAGAAAAGAATAAAAATCAATAATTTTGAAAATGATAATTAATCATCAAAGCAAAAAAAGATTGGCTTAACTGATCTTTGTTTTTATTTGTGGAATATGGGTGTCACTGGCATGGCCAGTATTTATTGTCCACATCCTTAATTGCCCTTGAATTGTGGAATTTGGTGGATCTATTTCAGACGGCAGTAAACAGTCAACCACATTGCTGTGAATCCTGAATTGCGGATATGCCAGATTGGGTAAAGACAGAGGATCCAGAGATAGCAAGGGCTGCAGATGCTGGAGTCAGAGATAACACAGTGTGGAGCTGGAGGAACACAGCAGGCCAGACAGCATCAGAGGAGCGGGAAAGTCACCATTTTGGGTCGGTACCCTTCATCAGGACTGAGGAGGGGGTAGGGAGCTGGGAAATAAATAGAGAGGAGGAATGGGGCTGGGATGAGTCAGTGGGATGGTGATAGGTGAGTGCAGGTAGGGAGTGGTGGCAATTGGTCAAAGGGATGGGTGGGGTGGATAGATGGGAAAGAAGATGGACAGGTTGTGTCAGGTCAAGGAGGTGGGGATGAGAGGGAGGGTTGGACGTGGGATGAGGCCGTGTTGGGGAAATTTTAAAACTGATGAATTCCATGTTTACGCCATCAGGCTATAGGCTCCCGAGGTGGAATATGAGGTGCTGCTCCTCCAGTTTCCGGGTGGCGTCATTGTGACCCTGGAGGATGCCCCGGATGGACATGCCACCCAGGGAGTGGGAGGGGGAGTTAAAATTGTTGGTGACTGGAAGGTGTTGTCTTTTGTCGCCTCCAGAACACAGATGCTCTACAAAATGGTTCCGAGTCTATGCTTGGTTTCAACGATGTACAGGAGGCCACATCGGGAGCAGTGGATGCAGTAGACCATGTTGACGGATGTGCAAGTGAATCGCTGTCTGATATGAAAGATTTCTTTTGTGCCTTGAATGGAGGTGAGGGGGGAGGTGTAGGGGCAGGTGTAGCACTTTCTGCGGTTGCAGGGAAATGTCCCGGGGTTGGTGGGGCTGGTGGGTAGTGTGGAGCGGACGAGGGAGTCACGGAGAGAGCAATCCCTATGAAAGGCAGATAGGGGTGGAGAGGGAAATATATCCTTGGTGGAGGGGTTGGATTGCAGGTGGTGGAAGTGGCAGAGAATGATACATTGGATGCGGAGGTTGGTGGGATGATGTGTGAGGACAAGGGGAATTCTGTCTTTATTTTTGTTGGAAGGAAGGGGTGCGAGGGCAGAAGTGCAGGAAACTCAACAGACCTGTTTCAGGGCATTTTCAATCACCGAGGGGGATGTTACGGTCCTTAAAATGGGAAGACATCTGGGATGTTCGGGAGTGGAGCGCCCCATCTTGGGAGCAGACGCGGTGGGGGCAGAGAAATTGGGAGTAGAGGATTGCATTCTTACAGGAAGGTGGGTGAGAGGTAGCTGTGGGAGTCGGTGGGTTTGAAAAAGATGTCAGTTTCGAGACAGTCACCAGAGACGGAGACAGAGAGGTCCAGGAAGGAGAGGGAGGTATCAGAGATGGTCCAGGTGAATTTGAGGTTGGGGTGAAAGGTGTTAGTAAAGTTGATGAACTGTTCAAGCACCTCGTGGGAGCATGAGGCAGTGCCGATACAGTCATCAACGCAACACAGGAAGAGGTGAAGGATAGTGCCAGCGTAACAGCGGAAAAGGGACTGTTCCATGTATCCTACAAAGAGGCAGGTATAGCTTGGGCCCATGCAGGTGCCCATAGCCTTCTTTAAGCAACCTTCTTGTTTTTTATGCTAATCAATCATTGTTATCATAGTTACTATTACTGAGACAAGATTTTAATTCCCGATGTTTCAACTGTTTTGTTAAGATTATTGTCCTGTGCTTATTTAAAAAAAAATGCTTTGTATCAGCTTGAATTAACTGTAATGTCAGTGGAGAGTGAAAAAGATGAGGCAGAAAGTTAAGTACAAGGCAGCTGCTGTTGACCGGTCTGAGGGCAGAGTTCTGTGCAAGGTAATACAGAATTACCCATCCTTTTTGTGTGAGTTCCAAGTGAAATTAAATGAGAACATGAAAACCACAGGAAAACTGATAGATTACCAGCATTTTTGCCAATCAGACCACAGCACAGATGGAAACTTGGGCTATAAAGCCATAGAGTCATAGAAATGTACAGCACAGAAAAAGGCCCTTTGGCCCATCGAGCCTGCATTGGTTAAAAACAACCACCTGTCTATTTTAATCACATTTTCCAGCACTTGGCCTATAGCTTTGGCATGGCAAATGCACATCTAAATATTTCTTAGAAGTTTCAAGGTTTTTTTTTTGCCTCTACCACCCTTTCAGGCAGTGAGTTCCAGATTCCCATCATTCTCTGGGTGAAAGAATTTTTCTTCACATCTCGTCTAAACCTGTTGCTATTTATCTTAAATCTAGGCTTTCACCAAGGCCATACACAATTGAAAACTGAATCTTTACCGCACAATTTATATCCTGATTAAACTTTCCCTGCACAGATAGCACACCACAAAATAGAATATAAACTCCCAACAGTGGAAGCAGTATCACCGCAAGTCAGAAAGCTTTTGGGTTTAAGCAACAGAATTGAGGCCAAAGGCTAGGCTGACACTTAGGGCTGGATTTTATGTTTATTTGACTAAGTGTCAGTTATGTCGAGTTTCAAGGAGGGATTTTTGCATGAGGCTTAGTGAAATTTCTTGCCGTATCCTGCCTCCTTAACTACCCACCCCATAGCACCCACTCACCCAATTCTAACCCCATCTTATCTCTCACCGTTCTCAAAAAAACTAGCCACTCACCAGAGATTTGCCAAAAGACCAGAACCTGCACCATCTTTAAAAGTGCACCGTGCACTTGAATGAGCACTGGCATTCTGAAATCACCCAGTTTGATGATGAACAGTCCCTTTGAACATGTTGGAGAAGTGGGGAAATGGTCAGGAGTACCCTGGCTTCACAGGGGGCAGCATATGATCAGACCTGGCATGGTCACCTCATTTACTAGGCTCTGGGGATGACACTGCCTTCATGAAGTCAGGGTGCTCCTGACCATGAACAAACATAAGGACATAAGAACACAGGAACCTGGAGCTGGAGTAGGCAACTCAGCCCCCTGAGCCTGCTCTGCCACTTGATACGATCATGGTTGATCTTACCTCAGCCTCAACTCCACTTTCCTGCCCACTCTCCATAACCCTTCAACCAGTTACTAGTTAAAAATCTGTCTGTCTTCTCCTTAAATTTACTCAATGTTTCAGCATCCACTGCACTCTGGAGTATTGAATTCCATAGATTCACAACCCTTTGGGACAAGTAATTTCTCCTCATCTCGGTTTTAAATCTACTCCCTTTATCCTAAAACTATGACCTCTCATTCTAGATTTCCCCACATGTGGAAATATTCTCTCTATGTCTACGTTGTCAGCCCCTTTAGCATCTTAAATATCTCAATTAGATCTCCTCTCATTCTTCTAGAGAGTAT